GTTTGTTTTGTAGTGATTACAGGACCCAGGAGATTACAGCATAAGATCCAGGATATCTCCACAACAAAACTCACAAGGCCATCACACAGCCCATTATACCAACATCAACTCCATCAACCAATCAAGAGTCTGGCAGACAAGACACACATAAAGACTGAACTATGCACCCTGACTAAAGTACTGACAGCTAACGGCTTCCACAAAAGCAAAATCACCAGCTTGATCCACAAAAACACATAATGGAGACCTAGAAGATGAACATGAGACATAATGGAGACCTAGAAGATGAACAGACCTATGGAACAGCTGTCCTGCCCTACATAAGAGGTACTACAGAAAAAAATCAGTAAGATACTACACAGGCATCACATCAAGACTGCCTTCAAAACAGACAGAAAAATAGTAGCCATCCTAAGAAACCCCAAAGATAAAATTGACCTGGAAAACCAAGGCATATATGAAGTCCCCTGTGCATCATGCCCTGCCACATACATTGGACAGACCAATAGAAGAATAAGTACCTGCCTGGATGAACACAAAAATGCAGTCAAAAAGCTGGAACACACTTCCTCACTAGTCCAACACATGAAAGCAACAGGTCATAGCATCGACTTCAATGGCACCAAAACCCTAGCCACTATAGAAAACCCCAGCCACAGAATTATCAGAGAAGCCATAGAGATTGAAAAAAGACCTGAAAGCATGAATAGAAGAGATGATTCCACCAGACTGTCAATTATTTGGAAGCCTGCACTCACAAACAAAAAAATCTCCACACCACAAGCCAGGCAAACACCTGGGCACAAACAGATCCCCCCTGATACCTCCAGCTCAAACACACCCCAACCAGGCACCCAGATGAAACCTAGCTTCCTAATAAATTATAGCCGTCCATTTACTCGGAGCCAAGCTGCACTAAAAGCCTCCAATATATGAACACAATGTTGCCAGCCAATCAAGACAAAAAAAAAAAAAGCCACGAAACAGACAGAAGATATCAGAGACACCCATCAAGCAGAACACAGCAAACTCCGAGACCAATAAACACAGACCAAGACTCCCAACCAATCAGGATGAAGAAAAAACCATTCTGGCACAGCGTAGGCTAGCCCCAAAGTTAAAACTGAAAACGGCTGTGAAAGTCTGACTCACAGACGAACACAACCAGAAGCCTGATGATGGCAGATGAGAGTCTGCTGAAACGTTGCTACAACTTTAAAAGCACAACTATAATGACGTGGGAAAATACCCGAACAAAGCTGAATACCATACATATATAGAGAGGGGGGGGGAGGGAGGGAGGGAGGGAGAGAGAGCGAGAGCGCCTTAAACTGGAGGACTTTAGCTTTGAACTGGAGGACTTTACAGATTCTAATCTAGAAGAGAACATCAGAAAGTTGTCTTGTAACAGTTGAGGCTTAAATGCCTACCTAAAAAGGCAAAGAACATTGGCATTTCGTAGCTGCCTACGTGCTAAAGAAAATGTCTGAGATGTATAGGCTTGACTTGTCCTGACAATGCACTGAATTTAAAAGATGTAAATGAGGACAGAGAGACAACACGCAATTCATCTGGCACAATATTGTACCAAAATTATCTTTTTGCTACAAATAACCTCCGTTTGTATTTATGTATTTTGATTTTGTATTTTTACATTTTATATTTGTAATGTGGAACACATGGCATAAAATGCTTGTCTTTTGAATTACGAATCTATATCAATGTTAATTGAATTGCTAATTTCCAATGCTTTTCTTTTACAGTTAGATATTATGGAAACATCTAAAATGAAGGCTGAAATTCAGGCTCTGACTTCATTTTCAACAGATTATCTTTCCAGGATATATTTGCCAAACAAGTTGCAATTCGGTGGATGGATATGAATATCAAGATACATTTTAAAGATTTTTAATGAGTATTTTGAAGGAATATAAATGAAAAAAATAAAAAGATATAAGAGAAATATAAGAGAACAAAAGAGAAGGTATAGATATTCCTAGTGGACTCCAATTTATTTCAGAGGTGTTAAGGCAGGTCATACAAAATTTTCAGTTATGTAAAATACTTTCTATGTGAATTAGTATTTCTCTTTTTTTTTTGATAGAAAGATTTCTTATCTAACATTAATTTTCATATTTTATAATTGCTTGTTTCAAAGAAAAAAATTGGTTGACAAAAGGATGTTAATATTGTTTCACAAATGCTTTATCAGTTTACTAGTTAATTAAAAGAACTTCTTCATGATGTGCTAAGTTTAAAAATACGATATAAAGTTATAATAAATCGAGTAAGAAAATCTTTGTTATCATTATTTACACTACATTTTAAATAAGCCAAAGAATCAGGTTTTTTAAAATAGTTTATGTCTTAATGAAATCAAACATGAATGAAAAATTGTTAAGGATTTCCCCTCTTTTTTGTAAAGTGTGTAAATTTGCACATGGTCTTAATTTAAATGTTTTGAATACAGCCTTCTTCCAAAAGGCAAGGAACAGTTACATATAGACACACCAAAAATTTCTGTTATGTGAGATGTTTGTGAAATGAATTTTCCCAATTTTACCACTTTTCTTGCCACGGTTGTTAAGTGAATCACTGCAACTGATAACTTGGTAACATGGTTAAGTGAATTTCGCTTCCCTGTTTATTTTGCTTGTCAAAAGGTTGCAAAAGGTGATCACATGATCTTGGGAAACACCAATGGTCATAAGTATGAGACAGTTGCTAAGCATCTGAATTTTGATCACATCGTGGGGATGCTACAAAGGTTGTAAGTGTGAAAAATGGTCATAAGTCACTTTTTTCAATGCCTATGTAACTTTGAAAGGTCACTAAATGAACTGTTGTAAGTCGAGGACTACCTGTAGGTGAGTAATATGTCTTTTGACAATACTGAAGAAAATCATCAGACCAAAAATAATATTGGTTCCAAGTAAGAAACAGCATTCAGTATATATTCTGTCCTCAATACTCACTAATGCAACTCATAAACAATTTTCTATCAGAGAAAAACACGGGTGAAAGATCCATTAACACACTTCAGATGCAATCCTCTATGGAGATTCTCATTCATCCAGGTCATGGTTGTCCGAAAGGGGTTTTTCAAGAGGCAACTGGGCTTTCTGTTTTTTTCTTTGAAGACATTTTGCTTCTCATCCAAGAAGCTTCTGCTCTGACTGAAGAAACCTCCTAGTGACCTCAATTATTCTCTAAGAAGAATGCAAATGATCAGCTGCCTACAAGGAGTATAAATCCTCCCATTCCCCACCATCCAAGTCAGAGCTGAAGAAGCTTCTTGGATGAGAAGCAAAACGTCTTCAAAGAAAAACACCTTTGGGATTTATGTGGAATCATTAGCATTCCATCTGTCTTCCCTTGGTAAAATCCACAGCACAGCCGTGGTGGCGCAGTGATTACAGTGCAGTACTGCAGGGTTACTTCTGTTCGAATCTCACCAGCTCAAGGTTGACTCAGCCTTCCATCCTTCCGAGGTGGGTAAAATGAGGACCCAGATTGTTGGGGGCAATAAGCTGACACTATAAACCGCGTAAAGAGGGCAGTGAAGCACTGTGAAGCGATATAGAAGTCTAAGTACATCAGGTCAAGAGGCGGAGAGATTAAGCATCTAGAACCCCGCCAAGCCTGGGCGGCTACTTTTACATCACGTTCTGCAAGAACACCGTCCATCCAGCGAAACGGACCAACGCCGACACGTCACGCCCCACCATTAACCCGCCAGTTGCTGTTGACGAATGAGAGCGGACTGTGGCTTAGCGCATGCGCATTAAAGAAGGGCCTAGGCTTCGCGGACAATCCCAGCCGTCCTGGCCGGCGTGCTAGCTTGAGGGAAGTGAAGGATTGATAGGTGGGTGTAATATTTTTTTTTTCTCCTCCCGGCCGGACCAAGTCGCGTGTGTGCCTCTTCGGATAAAGCTCCTCTCCGGAAAAGGGCCTCCGAGATAGCCGAGGCGGCTTAAGGTCGGCCGGGGCTCCATCCTCCTGCTTCGCTCTCCGGGTCCCTGTCCTTTTGGGGCGGAGGGGGCGCCGACAAAACTACCGATAGATAGAATGAGCTAAATAGCTCTTCTTACTTCCCCAACTCTTATCGGGAGGAGAGCATTTGCCTGCCTTCTACCGCTTCCTAGTCGGTCGTGCTGTTCCCTTAACCGGCATCCCGTCCGCGGTGCGTTGGACCGCTCTCCCCATAATTCCCAGCCGGCTCACCTGAGGTTGTTGGATCTGCAGCCCCCATTCGTGGCGAGAAGAGAAGACAAATACGACCTGAGTCCTCGTTGTCCCATCAGTCAGGCAACGGGCTGGGTTTGGGGAGACTCGCTGAGGCTGAAGGGAGATTTTCTGAACTAAAATTGGCCACCCAACGGGACATTTTGGTTCCCATGGAAACCCAAAATCCGGCTGTCAAGAGTACTACTGAGTCCATACCGGAATGATCTGATGGCAACATCCACATCGGTTCTGAAGGACGACCCCATTGAACCTAAACCTATACCATTTTTCCCCCCAAATTTGGCAACTTTAAGATAATTCTTCGGCCTGAGTGCTGACTGGGAAATTCTGGGAGTCGAGTTTGCCAAGTTTTTTTTTTTTTTTAATGGATGGATCTATCTCAAGACAAGAAATATATAAATACTTCTCGTTACTTCCCCACAACAACCACCTCATGAGATGGGTTTGGTTGAGAGTGAGACCAGAAGTCACCCAATCTTTCATGCCTAAAATAGTCTGTAGAGATTCTCAGTCATCCAGGTCATGGTTGTCCCAAAGTTGCTTTTTCAGGAGGCATCTGGACTTCTTTGTTTTTTCTTTCAAAGACATTTCGCTTTTCATCCAAGAAACTTCTTCATCTCTGACAGGATAGTAATCCTTCCATTCCCCACTATCCTGCCAGAGCTGAAGAAGTTTCTTGGATGAGAAGCGAAACATCTTCAAAAAGAAAAAATAAAGTCCAGTTGCCCCCTAAAAAAGCACCTTTGGGACATGCCTAAGAGAGCTTTCCTTCCTTCCTTCCTTCCTTCCTTCCTTCCTTCCTTCCTATTTTATTGGCCACCTATCTTACTACAGGGTAACTGGGCAGCTCACAATCATTAAAAAATGTATTTATACATATACATTAAAACATAAATAAATTAAAACCAAACATTAAAATCTAATGACAAGTGGGGAGGGCAGAGTGGAGGGAGTGGGATCAGTTCAAACTCACAGTCTCCTGGTTTGTAGGCCAGCACCCAAATCCCTGCACCAAAATAGCTCTAACTAATTCGCATCTAACAAATACCCTTATGATTCTGCTCAAATATATGTTAGGGAAGTGGCTGTTCTAGAATGTAATGTGTACTTTAAGAAACACTAAAATGTGTGAAGAAAGTTCTTCTCCATATTAAAAATAAAAGTAATGTGGCCAGTATATACAGATTAAATAAACTTCAATTGACAGTATAAACCCAAGTTTAAAATATGTTGTAGAAGATACTGGAGTACTAAGCCCATGTAAGTCTCATAATAAGCAACTTTGACATTAAAGCTTGATAAGGTTTCAGACTACAGATTTTCCAAATAAAAGATAATGTTCTGGAAAGGCCTTAAGCCTAGGGAGTAACTGCAGAGGAAAAAAGGCATGTGATGATTGTGTATTTACATTGATTTCTGTGTAAACTGTTTTCAATTATAAAAGCCTATATTATAAATAAGAGTTATTTAATATGTTATATTGATTTTGAGCACCCTGTAATAAATAACTTCCAAAAATTCATTTGCATTCCTATAACAGGACCAAGATGAGTTTGTTTGGGTCAACATCAGGATTTGGAACTGGAGGCACCAGCATGTTTGGCAGCACTGCTACAGATAATCACAACCCGATGAAGGTATTAAGCCACTGGATGCTATGAGAAAAACTAAATCACTTCACATAAATATTTTGAAAATTATTAAGTTCAAAAGATGGCATGTTTGCCTACTGGTGTATGTATATAAAAATTCCTTTGGTTGAATTAAAATGGTTTAGGTTTATGCATTATTTGCTGTGAGATTTTGAGAATGCCATAAAGTAGCTGTTAGAACTGTCATTCAAATAGTTACTACAGTTATAGACTCTTAAGAATATTCAGAAAAAAGTGCTTTGGACCACACACAAGGACACAAGCCTCTGCTATTTTTTTTTTTAAGAGCCTGACCTTTCAGATTTCCACTTCACTTTTGAAGTATGCAATATATGATTTAATAGGTTCTTTGACTGAAGAAAGGAAAGGAGAAAGAGTGGTATATTGACGTTATAAAGTGTTATCTTTAATAGATACTAATTTTTTGCTTACAAAATATACCAATTTTAGGTTGTGTGTTTAGGTTGTACATATTCTCTGTAGCATATCATTTTTGACACAATGATGAGATTTAAATGCAGATATTTATTGGAGCAAACTGTAATTTTATTTTTCTAAGGTTTTTTTCCCCATTGTAGAAGGGTAGATGTGACTCTCAATTTGGAACTAATTGGATTTTTAAAAAGTGTATGGTATGTGTTTACAACAAGTTTTAACTTTGACTTTTTTCCCAGGATATTGAAGTTACTTCCCCACCTGATGACAGCATAGGTTGTTTGGCTTTCAGCCCACCAACATTGCCGGGTAATTTCCTTATTGCAGGATCATGGGCAAATGATGTAAGTAACAAATGAAAATAGATAGAGGCATATCATGCGTTCACCTTTCCCTGCATTTACTGCATGGAAAATGACTGCAGACAAAATGTGATATCCGTAAGTGGGCAATGGTTGAGGTAACTGTATGCTATGTCTATGAGACAAAGTGAGTTTGTAAAAAGTATTAACAATGAAGAAGTGCTGCAATTTAATAATTTGTTTTAAAGGTATCTCAAAACAAAACCTCTCAAAGTGTTGAAATGGAAATGAGTTAGGTAAAAATTTCAGGACTGGGCTATTAATTGATTTCATTTAGTCAAATTTCTATTTTATTTTTTTCTAAAGATGCATTAAAGTAGAAAGTTCTTTTATAATATCTAAATCTGGGGCAATGTATTATTACTGCTTGAGCTTTATGAGCTAGTATCTGTTTAATCAAAAAAACACCTTTTTTCAAGTTTCTATTTATGAAACATTCTCTCATGGAATGGAAAACTATTAAGAAGTATAGCCCAGTTGCTGTATAAATTGATCTCAAGGGCCTTGAATTGAGCTTCTCGATGGATAGTCTAATCTTAATATCTTGTTGCATTTTTATAAAGCTAAATGCACTTCATTGTCAAAAAGGGTAAAATACTTACATTCCAGGTGCTATTCATATTTACAAATGTTTCCATTTATTTCAGGTTCGTTGTTGGGAAATCCAAGATAACGGACAAACTATTCCAAAAGCCCAACAGATGCATACAGGACCAGTACTAGATGTTTGCTGGAGTGATGTAAGTTCCATTCTTTCAGAAGAGATGTACTTAAAGGTTTATAGTGGTTTTCAGATGAGGAGGAATGTGAGATCAAAACCACTGTCTGAAAGCAATTTCTTTCGTGGAGGAAATTATCCTGGAATAAGAAAAGCAACCCCATTTTAGAGTTTTAACTACTAACAATCATGCTACACGTAGTCCTCAACTTAAGACCACAATTGAGCCCCAAATTTTTGTTGTTAAGTGACATGAGTTTTCCCATTTTACGGCCTTTCCACAGTTAAATGAATCACTGCAGTTAATAAGTTAGTAACATAGTTCTTAGAATTTTGATCACATGATTCTGGGAATGTTACAGAGGTCATAACTGTGAAATATGGTCATAAGTCATTTTTCAGTGCTGTTGTAACTTTGAACAGTCACCAAATGAACTTGTAATTGAGTACTACCTTTATTTCTTTTTTAAAATGTCTCCACCCTCACTAAGCACTATGGAATACATAGGAGGTTTTTTTGTTCTCTGTTGTTTAATAGGATGGAAGTAAAGTGTTCACAGGGTCCTGTGACAAAACAGCCAAAATGTGGGATCTTAACAGTAATCAAGCAATACAAATCGCACAGGTACAATTTTCAAATGTACATTTTTGTCTTTATAACAAATTTAACACAGATTTTGATGAATGTTTCTCCCACAAAATGGGGGGAAAGCTTGTTAGAAACAATACTTAAAAGCATTGAATGCATAATACTCAAAATAATTGGTTATGTATACCAGGGGTCCTCAACTCCTGGTCTGTGGATCAGAACCAGTCCACGGCCTGTTGGGAACTAGGCTGCGCAAGTGAGCAAGCACACAAAGTTCCATTTTCACATGTGCAGGATTAAATTGCATGCGCGAAACCATCCCCTCGTTGCTGCCGGTCTGGAGTCAGAAAGGTCGGGGACCACAGATGTATACTAATGAATTGGCCTCACTTAATTCTAATTTCTAAGAAAGGATACAAACCTTTGTCAATATTTTAGGGTATACTCAAAAGCAAACATTTTAAATGATGGAGCTGCATGGGAAGAAATTATACACAATGCTTTGATCACACAGTCTTGTCCCTAAGCATTTTTTTCCTTAAGTGGGATAAAAAAATCGATTATTATTCACTGGAATGTAATATACACTTTTCAAATTATTTGTTCTCTATGAGGTGGTTTCCAGATAATTTGAAAACTATGAACCCACTGAAATATAATAATCTTAGTGCTAATAGAGTGAATTCTGTGGGTTTGAATTCTCTGGGTTTGATGTGTTTTTAATGGGACCAGAAATGTAAACAGTCTATATTAAATGGAAGAGCAGAGGAAAGAAATAAGAGCCTTACCAAAGGCATTGCAAAAGCAAGGCTAGGCCAATGTTGTTGTTTTTTTACAGAAAAGTGAAATCTATAATTGCATGAATGGAAAGTGTTTAAATAATTCTTTTAAACATTCTTCAGCATGAAGCTCCTGTAAAGACAGTCCATTGGATTAAAGCACCAAATTATAGTTGTGTGATGACTGGAAGTTGGGATAAAACATTAAAGGTAAGCCTTGTAAGTTTTTTTTAATGTGTAAAAAGGTTTTCTCTTGTTCTGTGTAATAATTATTGTGGAAAAATTATTGCTAATACATAGTAGAGTAAGGTGCAATGCATTCCTATAAATGTGGGCCTTATTTCCAAGTGAATGAACTTGAGAGTGAAATCTAATGATTGATTCAAGTATCAGTTTTTTGAGGGAAGTCTCTATTCCATAGTATCCATTTAACATATTCTTTTCCAGTTAGTGCCAATACATCTCTGGGTATTATAAAGGTTTAAAATGCTTTAAACTTTTACAATTAGGAGCAACTGTTTTTATGCATTACATTTGTAACACTATTTTTAGCAATTTTTTAAAAAATGCAGCAGATTAAAAATTAAACTACAAGCAACAAACAAGAGAAAATGTGAACAAAATAGATGAACACAATAGTGATGAGCTTCCAAGAGAATAGTCCTAGTTTATTTTGTATCCTGATATAAATAGTTTTTTAAAAAATCATAAAAATACAGATGAATGCTCCACAATTATTTATATCAATAAAAAGTACATTTTCAGAAACTGGGCCATACTTGAAGTACTTCAGATGGTAGAGAAGTCAATATTGAGAGTTGCAACAAAGAGAATCTTACCCTAAGTATATCTAATTCCAATATTAAAAAAATGCTTGCAAGTCTTTTGAATTGATCCTTATTCCATCAGTTGGAAAGGTGACAACTGAGTCTAAGCAGGACTTATTCAACCATTTGTTCATTTGCATCTTCAGTCTCCCACATTCATTGTTAATATGTTTCCTGAATCAATTTGGATAGGGTTTGGAGGCATTTCAAAGTGAAATGACGAATGATCATTTTGCTACTACATAAAAGAATTTACCGAGGCCTTATTGAGCTTTTCTTTTTTTTTTAGTTTTGGGATACACGAACCCCCACTCCAATGATGACGCTGCAGTTGCCTGAACGATGCTATTGTGCCGATGTGGTAAGATGAATTTCAGAAGCCTTTGGGCCTTGATTAGTTAGAATCATGCCACACTTGACATGAGTCTTTTCTTTATACTGTGGTAGTGGTATTTGTATTATGTGTTATGATAATAAAATAGATGTACGTTTACTGCAGGAAAAAAGCATGTGATTGAATTTTGTATTACTTTCCTGTTTAGATGTAAATGTGAAATAAAACATTCTTTACTACATAACTATATAAAATCAGAATTGAAAATTCTCGGTCTGCTCTCACACAATTTCTCTTTTTTAGATATATCCCATGGCTGTTGTTGCTACTGCAGAAAGGGGCTTGATAGTTTATCAGTTAGAGAATCAGCCTTCTGAATTTAGAAGGATAGACTCTCCACTTAAACATCAGGTAACTTGCGTTTTCTTGATTTCCGCAGTATGGCTTGTTTTTAATTGTAATGGTGGTCCTCGACATATGACCATGATTGAACCCAAAATTTCTGTTTCTAAGAGAGACATTTGTTAAGTGAATTTTGTCCCGTTTTACGACCTGCCCTTCCACAGTTAAGTGAATCACTGCAGTTGTTAAGTTAGTAAACTTGTTGTAAAGTAAACCTGGCTTCTTTCCCATTGACTTTGCTTGTCAGAAGGTCGCAAAAGGTGATCACATGACCCTGGGACACTGCAACCATCAAATATGAGTCACTTAGCAAGTGAATAAATTTTGATCACGTGACCTTGGGGATGTAGCAATAGTTGTAAGTGTGAAAGACAGTCATAAGTCACTTTATCAGTGACATTATAACTTTGAAAGGTCACTAAATAAATTGTTGTAAGTAAAGGACTACCTGTAACGCCAGCATTGGTTTCTTATTCCTAATGGGATAATCAGAAAGCTGCAACTGCCATATATGATAGTACCTGATTAAAATACAGTCCCTTTTATTTAGCATCGCTGTGTGGCTATTTTCAAAGACAAAGTGAACAAACCAACAGGCTTTGCCCTTGGAAGTATCGAAGGAAGAGTTGCCATTCATTATATTAACCCACCAAATCCGTAAGTATCTGGAAGTGATCTGCTGTTTAATTTTGAATTCCAAGAAATGCAGGCTTTTAGAATAACTGTGTGTTGCATGCAGCTTCAAATGAAGGAATGCTTTTTTTTTCAGCGCCAAAGACAACTTTACATTCAAATGCCATCGATCCAATGGTACAAACACATCTGCACCTCAGGATATCTATGCAGTAAGTATTGTGTGCATTATGCAGTAAGTTTCCTCTAGGACAAAATAAAGGAGAAAAATAGATAGTTATTGCAAAAATAATTGCTGTGTTTTCAACTCAGTACATTTTCATTTAATATTACACATCTGAGTGGAAACCTACTCTGACAAGCTCTAGTATATTTGATAAGTAGGATTCAGAATTTAGCTAATACAAAAGAAAGAGAAGTTACAGTATGGCTTGGTTCTGATTTAATTCTACAGGTAAAGCAATTATGCTTTAACTTGAGGAAATGAAAAGAACAGTCCTTCCTATTTCAAATGCTTGCATTACTTGACCAATGACTCCAATCACTCTTTCCCTTATAAATTAATTGCAATCATTTATTTTGTGAGAATAAAATTGATGGTGAGAAAAGTAATGAAAGTGAGTGCATTAATCATCATCTCATATGGGAAAGTAGTACTGTCTCTCATTGTCTAAAGCAGAGGTTGCAGTTGGCAGTCTATCATATATTGCTGAATCTAAACTCGGATTACTAAGTCAAATGTAAAGGATACTGACTGTTTAAGAATCACATTGTTCACAGTTGGTGTTTTCTGAATCCAGTTATGTCAGTATGGGAAGCTAACCTAAAGTATCTCTGACAGATAACTGCCTACATTCCACTTGAACACAACCAGCAAGGAGTGTCCACTGTATTTAATAATTGCAGCCATTATCAAACTGATTTTACAGTTAGGAAGGATTGTTTTTTTTCCTAACATTCACTTGGGCTTTGCTTCCCTGTATATTGAATCCATTATTTGGTGGAATTCTAAAATGGTAGATAACAGGTCTTGATTTTTTTTCTCATGATATATCATTTCAAGTATTTGAAGAATGCTGCCATATGCCCCTTAGTCTTCTTGTCCCAGGGTTAAATATTTTCAGAACCTTCTGTCCCTCTTAGGTTTCCAGTTCATACTTATTTAACTTAACTGAGCTGATTCCAATTATTGTGAATCCTTCTTAAAATAAATGCCAGAACTGGACCTGGAGTTGATTGTTGCAGAGTAAAATGGAGCTTTTATTTGGAGCTTTTTTGTGCCACAAATACATAGCTTTTGTTCTGTACTTTAGGATACAAGTCTTCAGATTGTGGAAATAATTACTGTTTTTCCTGTTTCATTTTTTTCCTCATACTTTTTAAATTATAAGCTTGGTAAGGTGGGTTTTCAATTTTCATTACTGAGAGTACGTGAACATTCAAATTATATTTTAATTTTTACTTAACAGGTAAATGGTATTGCCTTCCATCCTGCCCATGGCACTCTTGCAACTGTGGGGTCTGATGGCAGATTCAGTTTCTGGGATAAAGATGCACGGACAAAGCTAAAAACATCTGAACAGCTAGACCAGCCAATATCTGCTTGCTGCTTCAACCATAATGGCAACATATTTGCATATGCTTCTAGTTATGACTGGTCAAAGGTAATAGAGTTTGCTTAAGATAATTTCTATCAACTAGCAGTTGTTAGAAAAAGTGAGCATCTCCAGTGCACTGAAATATCTACTAAACATCTCCATTGCTGTTGCTAACAATTGGAACACACTTCCAATGAGATCTCTCTAATAATGTGCTTAGTAGTTAAAAAATATAAAGGATTTTGAATACAGGTAGTCCTCTCTTAACCACCCTAATTGAATTGGAATTTCCATTGCTAAGCAATGGGGGCGAAATATGACCATGGCATTTAATGACAGTAGTATTGGTAGTTCTAGTTGTTAGGATAGGACAGTGGTGGCTAACCTTTTTGGGCTCCTGTGCCAAAATTGTGTGCGTGCTTGCACACTCGTGCTCACATGCCAGCACCCAGAAGGCAATGCGCGCCCCCCACACCCCTACACATGCGCACGCAATCCCCACATACCCGCCACCCCCTTACTTGCACTGCGCCTCACAGCTGATTTTTGGCAGGCTTGAGGGCTTTTTTGGCCTCCCAGAGGCTTCAGGAAGGCTTCTGCAGGCTTCTCAGGTTGAAAACTAGGCCCGTTTAGTCACTTCCAGTATTTCCAGAAAAACAGGAAGTGATGAAATGGGCCTAGTTTTCATCCTGAAAAGCCTGCAGAAGCCTCCCAGAAGCCTCTGGGAGGCCGAAAATCAGCTGTTAGGCACACGCATGCGCAGTGAGGTAAGTTTGCCTGCAGCTTGTGTGCCAGCACAAATGGCTCTGTGTGGCACCTGTGGCACGTGTGCCATAGGTTTGCCATCACGGGGATAGGATCTCGCGCTTCTCTTATCCTACTGCACTCATTTTCACTCCTACCCTTGGGAAGGTCTCACACAGCCAGCAGCTGCCTCAGGAAGGGCCATGCCACACATACCTGATCAGCAAAAGGAAGAAGAAATTATGGCCAGCTCGGGGCGGGGCAGGGGCAGAGGAGTGCGAGGCAGGCAGAAAGGTGAGGTGGGGGGTGGAGAGATAGTTGGGTAAGGAGAGTTGATGTATGCCCTGAGATCATAAATGGAGACGGTGCCAAGCACCCGAATTTCAGTCACATTACCATTGGGGCACTGCAGTGGTTACAACTCCAAGAACTAGTCATAAATATATATTGCTCAGTGCTGTCCTAACTTTGAATGGTCATTGAATAGTGGCTGTTAAGTGAGGGCTACCTGTATAACCGCTAATATGACAGAATGTTGTGATTTGCTACTACATTAGCAAATCTGAAATCTTCCAGAATACCAACCACATTTTTATAAGGAAAAACTTAATTTTCAGGTGTCTGCTAATGATAGGCATTAAGCATTATATTCCACCTCAACATTTTGATGCCACTGAACTCCATCTTAAGTTGGTGCAAGACCTGGTACCAAGTAGAAAACCAATATTAAGTTTTCATAGCAAATTTTAACTGAAGTGGCACAGGTAAGAAGGTGAAGATACCGAACATCCTATAGATCTGTTACAGTTGTGTTACATATTCTAATGATGGATAACAGAGGATTATTGGAAAAATTAGTACATTATCCATAGTATGAATAGATTCTTATTATATACAAATATATATAATTTCTCCTTTCCCTTTCATCCGATTGGTGATAGAACCTCAGGTAGTCTTCAGATTACAACAGCAATTGGGACTGGAATTTCTGTAGCTTAGCAATTGTTTTATTCTCTTCAATCTTGCTTTTTACCTGACATCTGTATTTAACTTCTCTTACATATCTGCTTTTCAGATGTATATTTTCACATAAAGTTTTAAGTCGAGGAACAACTGGTACTGGTCTTTACTCTGGGCTAAAGGTTTCTATAGCATTAATGATTGCTCAGTAATTGTGAAGAAAAATCTAATTGAATATCACAAATATTGTGCGCCTAATTTATAATGCTGTTATTCAGGTTTATATGTAATGTTGTGTTCAACCTTTTTGTTCCTCAGGGGCATGAATTCTATAATCCCCAAAAGAAAAACTATATTTTTCTGCGCAACGCTGCTGAAGAACTAAAACCTAGAAATAAAAAGTAGTGAGTATATCTCTGTCCATTATTCCATGTTGTTTTCCTGCCACCTGCTCTTCTTTGGTCTCAATGGAGTTGCCTCTTAATTCTTAGCAGGACATTCTGTAACTAACATCAAAGCATATTTGGTTGGCTGGAAAATTACCTTGCAAGGAATGCCTGACATGTGCATGAAGGTGTGTCCTTTTTCTTAATAGAGGCAAAATCCTTGCATTAGATCAAGAGACAATAGTTGCATCTTTTCAAGGTACTTAACAGTTTGAAAAACATATTTTGCAGAAAATCTGAAACACTCTCCCTTCCCCCCCCCCCCCCCCCTGATGGAGGTAAAAGAAAGGCTAACAACTGGGATCAAGGAAATAAACCTAAAAAGACAGTTGTGATTGAAGACGTTTTGTATATTTTGTCGTTATATTTATAGGTCACCTTTCTATTTCAATAAAAACTCAAGGCAATGATTTTTCTTTTTATAATGGAAATGTACAATTTAATATTAAACTACTGTCCACTTAGAAGAAAATAATGTGTTCTTATTTTTATCCTGTATGCATTATTTTTCTACCTATGAACATGAACAATAAATTTGTGATTAAAACTCCCAAGCTAGACCAGGCCTATATATTTGAAATGAGGGCAATTCCTGCATGCAACCATAGCTTGAAAACTTTAAGCAATGCGTTAAAGGATAATTATTGGCCTTGAGGCTCTGTATCATGTAGAAGCACCATATGATACCGTATATCTTTGTGAAATTTTAAAATTTAGAAACCTGCCTTCCATTTCCATGGGTCTGTATTAAGTGACAGGGAGTGAGTGAACAGGACAAATGTTAACATTGTATTGTGCCCATACTTGTGGTATCAACAAAAAATGAAGGACAGTGAAGAATAACTTCTGTGACTCAGTTGCATATGATTATTTCTGTAAACCAATCTGTGCCCTAACAGACTATAGATACAGGGATGTACGTCCCCCCCAAATAATATTACGAAGTAGAATAACTGTTTTGCCCTCAGCTTTTTTATGCCAATTCCAACATTATCAAGCATGGGAATCAAATCAGAATACCACTAAATAGAAATGGTTTGAAGAATTTTATAATGTTACTCCAGTTGAGGTTTATTTTTATTTCGGAATATTCTGTGTGACTGCCAAGGGACTGTTCTTTCAAGGTTGATGCTATGGCTATTTATAATGAATGGGAGCAAAACATGATTGTAGAACTTGTATATTATGATATTTCTGTCAATTCAATCTCTGTAAGTTGGTATGATGTAATATTTGCTACTGTTTAAATAAAACTGATTTGAATTAAAATATTTTTCACATTAATAGACTAATGGTCAAATGCTTATAATCTGGAGTTAGGCAGGGAAATAGAGGCAGATGGCAATTGCTCTTACTAATTATTTAGC